CGCGTGCCACGTGGTATGTTGTGTCTGTAGTGGAGGATGGGTTGGTGGTTTGTTAGTGCCAAGTGGTGACGTGTCGAGCTCGAGGTGGGGACGTTTGTTGGTCGGGAGCTTGTCTTCACGGGCGGCCATGGTGGACGAGCGTGCTGTGGCCTTGGCGTGGTGTTCTCTCCGAGGTGGCCAGGTCTTCTTTGGCAACGTTGTTTCGCGCTTTGGCGTGTTTGTCAGGGTGTGGGTTCGTCCCTTTCATTTAGAGAGGCCCGAAGGATTTTTGTCCGTTCAAGGAAAACGCGTGTTTCTTCCCGCCCCCCTCTTTTTTTTAAAAAAAGAAAAAAGGAAAAATGGGGAGCAGAGGGGTGGGAGGGGGGTTTGTGTTTGTGTGTGTTCGGGTTGTTTAGAAAGGGTTGGATTTTGGTGTATCGGTTGATGATGTGGAGTTGGGTTTTGTAGGTTGGAGGATTTTTCTTTCATGGGGTTGGAATCATGGGGAGATGGGGGGGTAGAGGGTGATGTGGTCTGTGGTATTCTCAGTACGCTGATGTGGGCTTACAAGATCTGGGTTTGGGGCGGTGAGCTTGGGGCCGGTGGATGGGGCACGGGATATTCTGTGTATATGGGTAGTGGCGCCTGGTAGGTTGTGTTTGTAGTGGCGGTATCTCAAGGAAGAGGCGCATTCATGGTTGGTTGCCAGGTGGTGACACGCCATGTTCGAGGTGGGGACGTTTGTTGGTCAGGGGTTTGTCTTCACGGGCGGCTATTGCGGACTGGTGTGTTGTGACCTGGCATGGCGTTCTGTCCGAGGTGGCCAGGTCTTTTCTGGCAGCGTCGTTTCATATTTAGGTGTTCTTGTCAGGAAGTGGGCTCGGTGCTTATATTTAGAGAGGTCAGGAAAAATTGCGTGTTTGTGGCATGGGTATTGTTGGGGGTTGGAGAGGTAGAGGGTGATGTGGTCCGTGGTGTTAGTGGTGTATTGGTTCAGGGGTGTCCTGTTATGTGAGTGTGGGTTTACAAGGTCAGGGTTTTAGGGGGGTGAGAAATTGGGGCCGGTGGGTGGGGCACCAGGTTTTTTTGCGTTCTTATTGCAGGTGTGAGCAAAGTGGGTCGGTGTACCGGCATCAATGTGTGTGTTATTTGTATGTATGTGTGTATATACTTACAGAATGTGTGTGAGTGTGTGCTGATGGTATGTCTGTAAATGTGTGAGTAGCTATTTCTAGGTTTTGATGGCTTTCGTATGTGTGTGTGTGTGTGTGTGTGTGTGTGTGTGTGTGTGGGTGGGTGGCGGGGAAGGGTTGGGAGGACCTCCCCCACCAATCAATCAATCAATCAATCAATCAACCAATCAATCAACCAATCAATCAATCCATCAATCAAAAAACAATCAAGCAATCAAGATTTTTTTTTTTCTTCTATTTTTTGTTATTTTTTTTTCACACACCAAAAATGACCCCCCCGATTTTTTTTTTAAAACTTTTTTTTGTTCGAGGGGGTAGGGTCGGGGTTCCGGAACCCCAATCCGAAGCCCCCACCCCCAACCCCCTCTCCCCTCGGCCGTGGCGGGCCGTGGTCACCGAGGTCATGACCGCAGCCTCGGGCCACGGTTGTACCCGAGGTGACCGCAGCCGCGGGTGTTTCATAGCGGCCAACAGGTAAGTAGTGTATATTTGGATGTTGTAGCAGAAGATTCATTCAATTTTCCTCATTGTGTGTGTGTGTGTGTGTGTGTGTGTGTGTGT